GACAAGCACACTTCTGGGAGCTGTTTTCAGGTAAACTTGCAGCTTTGGGGCAAGTTATTCAGACCCTGGGTCCGTGTTGGAGCAGATGGGAGAGTCTGGCTCAAGACAGGGTGCTGGAGTCCTGAGCTGGTAGGGAAAACAGGAGCAGGGTGGTCTTTGCACATCGGGTGGCAGCTCCCAAGGGGGTTTCTGTGATCCAACCCATCACACACTCTACCCACAACCCCATGATGAGACCTACTACTGAGGTCAGACCCATGATATGGAGGGAGTTGCAGAGTCACCCTGCACAGCCTAGAGCCACCCTGGAGAGTAACCATAGTGGTTCTGCTATCTTTTGGTACTTCATATACAGTAAATTCCATCTAGGATACCGAAGAATAAGTCTTTGGCCTGAGTCCAGATAGTTTAGCTAAATTATTGGGCCCTAAACATATTATTTGTCCCCATTTTCCATATTCTATTCCTTGCAGGTTCCATCAAAAATATATGTAGCTTAGCAAAACCGTCTATGTAACCAATATGTACGATATTCTTTGTATAAACAAAAAACCTGTGAGTACATGGGGCCATAAAACAGCCTATAATACAGACACCAATGATCTAATTTTGATCCAATTTACACTGGTGTAAGTCAGAAATAACACCTTTGACTTGTATGCAGTTAGACCAATATAACAGTGGCATGAGTGAGATCAGAATTAATTCCCCAATTTAAAATCATGAAAAATAATTAAACAGCTATCACTAATGTTAATCCTAATGACAGAGAAAGGTAGTTAGCTGTTCTTTAATGCAGGAAAGAAAATTGCTTCAAAATATTTTATAAGCATTTTGTTGTTCTTACTCAGTTCCTAACAAAAATAACCCCATTAAAATATATCTAGTAATATCCACTTCACTACGGTGAAAAGATCTGGTTCCTGATAACAATTAATTAAAAGTCAGATTTTAAACCTGGAACTCCTTCTCCTTCTTACAAATGTTTAAACTTTTGTCTTTAAAAAGAACTACTCTTTTATTCAACAGGGCAAAAATGGAAAACTGCCAATCTGTTATCCAAGATAATGAAGCAATTTCTCAACATGGGGTAGATCACATGAAAGCACATGAAATACAGAGGGATTAAAAGGTAAGGAATGTCAGAAGTTTTTACCTTCCATAACTATCATAAGTTACATAGTACTTTTGTTTCAAATAACTTGTTTTGCCTTTCAGGACTTTGAGAATACATAATAAATTAAGGACCTTTTTACATTCCCTATATATTATTGTCTGCCCAAGGATTGCAGGTTCAAACCCTAAATGGATTGGAAAAAAAAAAAGATACCTCACTGTTACATGACTTCAGCTGTTGACACCACTTAGCAAGGAGGTTAGTTGTTGACATTGTAAGCTGAAGAGCTCTTTACCTAGTCTTTGTTTTTTTGTGCTACAAATGGATTAAAGTTAATAAAGCTTTAAGTTTGTCTTTCTACATCCACAGCTCTTATGAAATAACATAACTAATGTTTGTTAATTTGTCTCTTAGCCCCTGATCCTGCTACTACATCCGTATGGGCAGACCCTTACCCCTGATGGAACTCCACTGATTTCAACTGGGGCTTTATGTGAACACAGGGGTCAGCCCAGGAAGTTGTAGAATTGGGACCCTATAAAGCTAAATAAGAAGGAAAAATTTTTTAAGTTGTGTGTGTGTGTGTGTGTGTGTGTGTGTGCGCGCTTTTATTTTATCTATGCAAAAGGAGATTTTATAAATAGCTGCTATTATTTCAATATCTCGTTTCAGTGAATGAAGTTAGAGCTACTCTCTTAGAACCAGTTCCTGGGAGATGTGTTCAGCACCTCAGATTGAAGCTTAAAATCTTGCAGGATCAGTCCCTTAACTATAAAACATTTTAAGCCTTAAATTTACTCATATTAGTAACTAAATACAGTAGTTGGAACTTTTTTTACATTATACTGATATATCCCTTTAAAAAACTTTCCATATGCTTTAGGGAGGATAACTTTCTACTCATCTATTCATTTTAGAGAGTAACTATTTGCATGATAATTAAAGGCAGTCACTGTCCCTACAGCTTGCAGGGAGAACTACTAGTATAAAATTACTATGTGCAGTTTACAAATTACATTGTACAACCAATCTTCAATTTAAGTGTTACTGTACATCTTTCCAAAGAAGAGGCTTAGAAAATTTAGTTAAGACCTCACATACCTGAATTTTGCACAGCATATTTTTAGTTCATTTTTACAGCAAATAAAAATATTTTTGAATTAACTAAAATATATGTATTTTTAACTGTGCTTACTTTGTAATCAACCCCAATATGAAAAGCTATGCTAGTATAACAATAGAGCTAGCAATTCTCTTTTAAGTCATCATGCCATGGGCTCTGAACAAAGTTAATTCAAGGCTTTTGTCAGGAACACAGACTTCAATCTTTCCCAATAATACTATCCCATATTTATTTATTTAAAATCTACATGTACTATAAGTGATTTTCTTATCTGTAGATCTGCAATGTGACATACTGTACTGCAGGTTAGGTAACTTAAGGGTATCAGCCAGATTTGCTAACTTCAAAATTGTACCAGAAATATTATGTATTTGAAAAGACAATCACTGATATATTAAACCAATAAAATCACTCACTGATGTTCAATTCCTTGGCAAGAACTGCCTACTGGTCCAGAAAAAAAAAAGTCTGTTAAATAATTCTGCCCTTCTAAATACTTCTAGTGGATATCTTCTGTTATTTTGCCAGTATTCATTCATGCTTTTTGCATATGACACCAGTCATCCTCATGCCCTGGATCTACAGTTAGTCATAATTTGGATTGTTTCCAGGTCAAAGTTCATATGAACACAGAAGAAATACTTCCAGAAAATACGGTGTCCCTGTGGAAGTGTATCAGCAATTGGGCTTTCTAGCTGATGGGATTGCAGATCAATCCTGAGTAGGCAAAGCACTATAACTATGCTGTAGGGAACAGTCTTCCACTGACAAAGAGATGGACTAGATAATCTAATAGGTCTTTTCCATCACTAAAATCTATAATTCCATGAACTTCCTGCCAGTTGACAATATTACAAGGTTTGACAGGCATTTATCTTCAGAAGAGGGACAAAGATCACTAAGAGTCAGCATCAACTAAAAAGTTCACAAGAGGCAACAGTAGTGTCAGTGGGCAAAACAACCAGAAAACCCTTTCACATTCAGTAAAGCACTCACTACTTGCCACTTTTGTACATGATAAACCAACAGTGATCAAAGCACTAAGTGGAGGAGAAAGGGCATGAGATCCATGTAAAGTCAGTTCTCTACATCAACCTGACTGTAGTAAGGGCAGAGAGGTGCAATGTGGAAATAAAAGAAAAACACTAAGAGCCAAAAAAAAAAGCATAAAATTGTATTGTTCATAATCAAATGTATGCAAGAGAGAGAAAATTAAAACCCAAACCTAACTTCTTACAATGAAGCAGGAGCTAGACAAAAAAAAATCAGCTACTGCATTCATCAGGTTTCACCACTAAAGGAGCAATCCAATGGTCACTGAATTCAGACTCTAGAAAAAAGTTACATACCTGTTCGGTAACTGTTGTTTTCAAAACATGTTGCACATGTCCGTTCCACTTTAGGTGCACGTGCACCAGAGCCAAAGATCTTTTTCTCATAGTGGTACCTGTCAGGGTGGTGTATGCACCCTCTGCACCCTTGTGCTGCCAGCCAAGGATGTACAGGAGGTGGACCTGCCCCAACTCCCCTCAGTTCCTTCACACTGGAAGCCATATTGGCTGTTACTCCTATGTAGAGGCAGGAGACACTGGGTCATGGATAGACGTGCAATTCATTTTGCAGAACAGTTATTGAATAGGTATGTAACCGTTTTTTCTTCTTTGAGTGCTCGCACATGTCATTTCCACTTTAGGTGACTCACAAGCATTTCCAAAGGGAGGACGGTATCTGACTACCTACAGAAAGGCTGCAGCACTATTCTCCCAAATTGAGCATTGTGTCTTGAGGCCTGGGAGAGAGCTAATGAGCTGCAAACGTATGAACAGATAATCAAGTCACAGTCCTGTAAATGTCATTTAGTACCTTTGCCAGATCTGACGAAGAGCTCTGTGTAGCTCAAAAACTTGCCTCTCTCACTAATAGAAGTCAGTCCAATAAAAAAATATTACCTCACCCACCTTGTCGTCTCTCTAATAGCCTGTGACCAAAATGGCTACAAAAATATTGCACACAACCGATAGGAATGTGAACCAAGAAAGCAGCCAGTGCTTCCTGTGCTCCCACGGTATGCAAAAACTTTTTGAGGTAGTAGAATGTTAGCAATATCACAGCATAAAAAAGTTACAGGAGATCCAGGAAGAGATCGTATGCGAAGTGACAAGTTGTCCTTTCATCCTGTGAGCAAAAGAGACAAGTAATTGTGGAGATGCCCTAAACTGTTTAGTTCTGTCCAGGTAGAGGGCCCTGTGACCATCTAAAGTCTAAAGCTCTTCTTTAGTGTGAGAGTGAGGTTTCAGAAAATAGGTTGGTAAAGATATAGTCTGTTTCATAGGAAAGTCTGATACCCTAAATTTCTCACTAAAGTGGTATGGATGCAAACGAACATTGTCTTCGTAAAATAAGGCAGGTCAGTGACTAAAATCGAAAGGTTAGCTACCCTCCTGGCCTGAGAAATGGCCAGCAGGAAAGTTACCTTCACTGAGATATGAGAAAGGGAGGATGTAGCTATATGTTCAAATGGATGCCCCATTAAAACTGAAAGAACTAAAATCAGATCACAGGATGGTGTTGGGTCCCTAATGGGAGGAAAGAACCTGTCTAAACCTTTCAAGAACCTAACAGTCATAGGTTTAGAAAACACATATCTTCCCTCCACAGTTAGCTGGAAGGCAGAGATAGCTGCCAAGTTAACTCTCAGGGAACAGATAGAAAGCCTTTTTCCTTCAGGTGAAGCAGGAAATCCAGAATAACCTGGATAGGAGCTTGTGAAGGAGAGACCTCTTTTTGCTGGGACCACACAGAGAACTTTGTTTTTCTTAAGGCAAGTATGTAAGTATATCTGGTGGAGGGTTTTCTGCTATTTAGCAGGACATTTTACATTCCAGTGGAAGAGACAGCTTCTTGGTGAGTTAATTACTGAGCATCCAAGCAGTCAGGTGCAGACTGAGCAGATTGGGATGCAGAACCCTGCTGTGGTCCTGGGAAACTGTCTGGGACCTGAGGGAGATCTCAAATAGAAAGCCTTAACAGGTCTGAGAGCCAATGCTGATTGGATGAGGCTGGTGTCACATGGTTTGGGGTGCAATTCAGTAAGAGGTTATTTCATCACTTGCCCTGCAATCCTAGGTGCTTTACAATTTGCTTTGCTGCTGTGGCTGTGGTTTCACTAATCTTCCTTATTCCCTCCCAGCCAGGGCTGACTTTTCCCACTGTCAGGACCTTCCACTCAAGTATAAGATATGTTTTCCCTTGTCTTCTGAGGTCAAAGATCTTTGCCTAAGCAGGTTTCTCACCTGTATTCACCTATCTCCAGAGACTTCAACTCCCTTTGGTTGAAGGACCCACATTTCTCAGCTTGCAAGAGCATTGTTCACTAGAGAGGGATGCCAAATTCCTGGCAGCATTGAACTCATTATGACTGATCTGAGGAGGCTGCTATAAGTTAGACAGGTGCCTGAGTTATACAGGGGCTGTAGCAACTGTTAACTGCATGGACTGAAGGAAGGAGCACAGGTTGCAGGAGGGAAGAGTTTGGAGAAGGCACTAGGAAGTCAGTATGTAGGCCCATGATGGGAACGCTAGATGCAGTTGCAACATCTCTATGAACAGTTGTTAATAAAAAGCCAGTGTAGTTTTACAAGCATGGAATCCTCTCATGTTGTTACTCAGCACATAGTACATGAAAGAGAAGCCTCCAGATTAGCCTAAGACTGGGAGGATGCGTAGGTGGCTTGAAGACACCTGCCTCCACCCCCAACCCTTGGCTATGAATTCTGTGCTTCAGCTCTAAAAAGACCAGCACAGACTCTCACTCCAGGAAAAATAGGAGATGCCATCACTAGTGGTGGAAAAAAATTGCTCTTGCTAGTGCCTCCAAAATGCTTCACTTCTACATGCAAAAACTCCCACAGACATTTCTGTAAGAAGTGGTTTAGTTGTGATAAATCATTTTAAAAGTGGTTTCTCCACCTTGGTTGCAGATTAATCTCCTATGAGCTACTGCAGTTTTGGAATAAATTCTTCTGCACACTAGTGGGGGGTTCAGCAGCTATGGTTAATGTTGACTCTGTTATTGATTTTTAAACACAGTAACAGCATTTTATTGGTGGAAAAGCAATTCCACTAATTCTTGGTTTTCTAAACAAGAAGGTGCAACACAAACAGAATGAGACTTTGTGGTATTAATTAGTGAGGGCACCTCAGATGTCACTCCTATCCACATTACAACATCTTAATGAATTTGTTGCATGCTATTGGCATGGCTTGGCTCTAGATATGGTCTATGCATTACACATGGTTAAAATTTCATTAATAACTTCCACCCCTTGCAAACAGCATTAGTCAAGGGAGTTTGCTAGTTGACTGTGCAGCTTACATTCTCTATACAAAATCTGGGTCCACGAACCAAGATGATTAAATCAGAGTTTGGTGAAATCAGTAATATTTCCACAAGAATTAGATA